ATTATTATCATTATTATTTGATTCAAAGAAAAGCTCATTGCTGAGATAAATTCTGGGAAGTCCACAAATGCATTCCTTGATTTAAACATATTCACTCTCGTTACATTTCCTTTGTAACGAAACATTTAACTAAAGAAACAAAGTCCACAATTAAGAAGGCTGAATGACTGGATTGCACCTAGTTAAAATTTAAGAACCAAAGTGTGTGTGACCCTAAGTTGAGAGGATGAAATCGAGTTTTTCTTAATAATATGATATCCTCAATATAGAAGCACTATTGATGATACTATGAATAAATCTCATAGCCAGTATAAACAGAAAGAGATATTATATACTCCACATAGAAGTAAAATGATGAACGAACCTTTCGTTTCTGTTAAATATCCTTTCATAAGGCTCAAGCTACATACACCAATAACTTTGTTTTGTTTTGGCAGTGCGGCTCTTTTAATACAGAGACCTTAGATATGGGTATATCCTATGCCCCGAGAATCGTTGCCCCTTGCTAGTTATTATTCTAAGTATACAAGCACTTTCCACTAATTTGAAATAAAGTAATTTCAAATTTGAAACCTAAAAAAATTATATTAGTGGATACTAGAACTTCATATCCTTACCAATCAAGAAGCAACTTGGTTGCAGGGTTGTCCTTTATAATTTGAAACTTGGAATGAGAATTTTGTCGAAAAGACTAGGAAAATTTTGTCGGTATATTTCTGGAATAATTAATAAAACTATAAACAATGGTCAATTAACTATACAGAAACAAGTAACAATTAATACGTTGGTTTGGTTAACTACTCCTTCCATGATTTGATAAAGGTTCCCTGCCTTAAAATGCGTTTCGTCATATATTTATAATAATTATAAGATTAATTAATGTATGTTTGATTAATTTATTTTACTCAGAGAAACATTTAGCTGAAAACATGTCTTCAGAATGTTTTCATTATAAAATTCGAAAAAATATTTATCCTTCTAAAGTATATAACGTTGTTAATTAATTAATTAATAACAAGTTTGACTCAATAAATCATAAACATTGATTTACAGAAATCAACGGCTATGATCTAAAATGACACAAAGTTATATCTTTTAAAAAGACAAACGTTTTTCCTATAAAATTTCATAAAACCAAAAAAACTTATTTAAAAATTTAGTTAATATTTTATATTAAATAATACATGTATAATTAAAAATACGATATTCATTCTTCCAAAAAAATATGAAATTTAAACTAATACATTCAATTCACCAAAAAGACAAATTATTATACATATTTTATCATCGCAAATGGCTTACATAATAATAAATGAGTGAGAGATAGATATTGGTGGAATGTAAAGTAATAAATAACTCATTTTTCTCTCACTCTTTGCTATTTTAAGAAATAATACATATTATTATTCAACAAAGGATCAAACAACATATAATGTTTGTAATAATAATGCTTTAAGCTCAGTAGATGAAATCTCTAGTTATAAATTAAATCAAAATTTCTTATATAGTGCATAATCATGAAAATATTAGTATTACAGATATATAATTTAAGTCAATAAATAACAAATCGCTCAAAAATATTTCAAAAGAAAATAAATCATTTGTGAATTTAAAAAACTGATATCCTTTATGATTTATTTATTTTTTTGAAAATAATTTTTTTTATGAACTGGGACGGGTTATCGATTTTTATCAAAAACGACCGAATTGCACTGGTTCTAATGCTTGACTGATCCGCTGCTTTACCCAAATTATTTATATGACTGGTTTATCGATTTCTGAATCGACCTAGTTGGACTCGTCTGATTTTATCAACACTGATTCTAACTCTATTGATGAGATTTATATGTGACTATAGTATATTAGATTTTTTCGCACAAACATATCTTAACGGCTAGTTGGGACAAATTTTTTGCGTATAAACATAGTCTATACAAGTATCTTAATTTGTAATTAACACATTATTTAAAGGGTTCGTTTTTTCTGCAGTTACTGCAGATAAGTTATCTGCAGTAAGCCCAATACGATATCGTTTTGGGGTGGAAATTGTTGTTGAAGATAGTGGGTGATATTATATCACTAATAGATTTGAACCCATGTATAAACAGAGGAGGTAGATGATCAGAATTATCAATGTGCAATTATAATAATTAAAACAGACTTACTTGAGGAGTGTGATAAAGCAGACAGAATCAGAGGAATGAATGTATGCAGTAGATGAATTAAAATCCGAGCCCACAGAACGTGTCTCTTTAAGACAATTTGCCCCCTCACAGATGCCAAAGGTTGATGGACACTTGTCTCCCAGGATAGAACAGATTTCGTCTAAAGAATGGTGACACTACCAATCAACAGCCCAAACGAACACAACTATTGTTAGAGGAAAGTACACCGGAGGATGAAAGGCAGTATGCAAAACCAGAAGGAGAAAAATTCCGGCAAAGTTTCAGTGCACATAAAACTGGATAAATTTCTAAAGGTGTCAGTGTCTATTTATAGACACTGACCGGTCACGATGAACAGTCGCCAGCGGCGAACCGCCGTGTCGGACGGCGGCGAACGGGTGCGACTGGTGACCGTTCCGACGAACAGGTACAATCGGTGACCAGTTCAGCGAGCAGACACAACCGGTGACTGGTTCACGAAGGGGAAGAACCGGTTCGGTTCAACATTGCTCAAAAAACTGGCGGATAGAAACGTTTGGGTTGGAGGGAAGCAAGGGATACATTTTTTGGACAAAATATTAAAAAAATTATTTAATAAAAATTTATTTTTATTACACACATATGAACCGAGCCGAGACGGACGGCGGCGGCGCGTGGTGGATTAAAGCCCACCTAGCTCCTCCCCTACATAAAATATGTAGTGACCCAAGGGTCAAACTAGGAGAGTGAGGTGGGAGCTTATATACTCTCCCACTTCTTACTAATTGTCCAATGTGGAACTTGTTAAACCCACACACCTCTTCATCTTCCCTTTTCTCTTTTCTTTATTAACCCACTTCTTATTTATAACCAATGGATCATTGTACATTAATTCTTTCATTAATTTCAGCAGAAATCATCGTATTTTTGTAATTTAAATTTTTTCAGGGTTATAATAGTCTTTATATTTATAATTTTTTAAGATTTTAATACCAGAACGACGTTGTTTTTTATAATAAATGCAGATAACTTATCTGCATTAACTGCAGAAATATTTTTCTCTTATTTAAAATATTTGACTCACATAATTTTAAGTATAGGAGATATGAAGGAGAAAATAGTTTGCAAATATATATATATATATATAGGGTTCGCTTTTTCTGCAGTAAGCCTAATACGATGTCATTTTGGGGCGGAAATCATGGTGTTTTTGTAATTTTAATTTATTTCAGGGTTATAATAGTCTTTGTATTTATAACTTTTTAAAATTTCAATACCAAAACGACGTCGTTTTGGGAATAAATGCAGATAACCTATCTGCATTAACTGCAGAAACATTTCTCCCATATATATATAGGGTTTGGTGTTTGTCATTTTAAGAGAGAGATAGATACAAGAAATGGAAATCATGGGAGAGAAAGCTGGTGGTTTTTTTAATTTAAATTTTAATTAAAAATATTTTCTTGTGTCTATCTCTCTCTTAAAATGACAAACACTTTTCCCATATATATATATGGGTAAAATATTTCTGCAGTTAATACAGATAAGTTATCTGCATTTATTCCCAAAACGACGTTGTTTTGGTATTGAAATCTTAAAAAATTATAAATATAAAGACTATTATAACCCTGAAATAAATTAAAATTACAAAAATACCATAATTTTCGCCCCAAAACAACGTCATATTGGGCTTACTGCAGATAACTTATCTGCAGTAACTGCAGAAAAAACGAACCCTATATATAGGGCTTATCATTTCTCAAGCTGCTTGAGATAACTTTATCTCCGACTACTAAATCATAACCGTAAAAAGATGGATCAATAGTAATAAAGGAAGAGAGAGAAAAAGGGAATCATAACCATTTAAAAAGGTGAATTCAATTAATATAAGGAAATAAATAAACAAAACGACATAATTTTGGGGTAGCCAGAGATAAATATATGTCAAGCTACTTGAGAAATATTTTTCTCATATATATATATATATATAAATGGGAAATAATCATCTTATTTTGCGGCAAATATCTTATCTCATGTGAGTGAGACAATCTTCTATGTGGAGCCCACTTAAAATTAAAATAAAAAAAATAAAAAAATAAATGGGCACTGTTGGTGTGAGTGCAGGAAAAAAATCTTGATTTCTGTTACAGAAGAAAACATAAGCCCTATATATATGTATAGGATTTATTATTTGTACTGTCACTGTATATAACGTTTCGTATTGTCAGCTCAGAACGACATCATTTTGGGTGGGATAAAGGAAGTTCGCGTTCAAAATTAATTGTAGAAAATGAAAATATTATATTTATTTCCACCTGGTTATGATTTCTCATATTTAATGCTTTATATTTATTTTCATCTTTGTATGGTTATGATTCCTCGTATATGGACATGATGAATTTTAAATTATTATTATGTTAAATTTAATGTATAATAATAAAATACTATATAATTTTGGATTATTATAATATGTTTTAAACATCATCTTTATGATAGGAAAATTTCCATCCAACTGCAGATTTGAGATAAAATTATTTAGTAAAAAATTATTTTAGTTCACATCAGTTAAATCGATCCCTCATCTATTTATTAAATTAATCTTCTCTTTAGTATTTTTTTTACTTATATCTTTTATTTAAATTTCATTTGCATTTAAAAATACTCCTAGGATATACGGATACTTAATTTTTTTTTATTTTTTTAAAATAAATCTTGGAAACTTAAAAGTGATATTGATAAAATTTGAACTCGATGCCACTTGAAACTTGCTTTGTTCTTGGACAAACTTTCCGGCTTTCATTGATTTATATCTATTGTTGCCCCTTTGTTCAGATATATGATGCTCTCTCTTTTCGTAACACCACTTCATCGCCTCCAATCGCTCTTAAACTAAAAGAGCATTAACCTTTGGTTTCAGATGCGCCATATGGTTTTGTCGCACTCTTCGTCAGAATCAAGAATCACTGAGGTAATCATTCAATACACCGCACCATTTTCTCAATGCGCATAATGCTTTAATCATTGCCATCAATTCTTGTTCTGTTTGTTATTGTTGTCATTTCTTTGTTGCGGTCTGCTTCAAAATCACTCACGTTCTTTCACTTTGTCCGCACTTTGCTGCTCTATACTATATATTTTTTGGTTCTAGCACTGTTCTCCGGGAAGAGATACTGTTTATCTGTTTAGGATTAACAAACATGATAATTTCATATGTATACTTACATATTACCCATATACTGATTAGTCTTCAATGTTGTTGTATTATGGATCATTAAGAGCCTGCTAGACACATAAAAAGGGGAGTTAATGTTAAAAAATTGGTTAGAGTAAGAGAGTCCTGAACTGAAGAATAGATGCTATCAAGGGCTTCAATTTTAATAGACAGTAGTAGACAATGGATGATTATGCAGACAGTGTAAGATTCAGATTGTTCTGGTATATAATCCTTATCTGAGATTTATTATAGATGCAATAAAACCATAAATCAGCTTAAGCTTTATGGAAGAGTTGGTCCTTTGAAATGATATTAGAGACTCAAATGACCAAGTGGTCACTTTAGGAGAGTTGGTCTTTGATATTTACTGTCTCGCCAGCACATGAGAATTGTATGTTTGGACAGTTATAAGTTAGCAAGAAAGTGATAATAGAATTATTATCATGGATGACTAGAAGTTAGATGCGCATGATACTGGCCTGTAAGAAGTTATTTTCAAAAGGGAAGAGAAATATTGCCGTTTTTCTTATTTCTGATATAGAGCTGCAAGTACCTATGAGTAAAAAACTAAAATTAATTTTGGAACATCTGTAAGTAGACTGTTTAGTGTTTACTCATTTATCGGTAAAAGGTGGTGCTTTACCTGTGCTGTTCATTACCAATGACTTAGCTGTCATCACTACTGTTTGTTCTGTAGGGATATGGGACTTGACCATGTTCATTGCATATGAAATCTTCTTTGGATCTCATAGTGCCTTTTAACCTCCTCTACATATTTTCCCACCTCGTTGGCAACTCTCTGCCGCCTACCGCGTGATATAAAGCCAGGGCTCTTTCAAAAAGTTTGTTTTGCCTTGGTGTCCAACATGATGCCATCTGAAGATAAAAAGTTCAAGTTTGCTGTTAAGAACAGTCTTAAGCAATGGTTATATAAGCAGGCTGCAAAGGACGGCAGGAGAAGGAATTTCAGAAAAATTAATGGGTGGCTTCATTGAATTCCACAAGCAGTAAATAATAGAAAAAGAATGGTTGCTTCGGTCAAGGGATGGTGCGGTAAAGAGATCGCCAGCTAGCTCCTTATCAATAGAAAGAATAGTGTTGGTGGGGTAATTGGTTAAACCTGTAGGATGAATGTACTTCAAAAGGGATCGAAAATGAAGTGACCTGTTTTCCTTTACCGTAGGAACCACAATACGAAACAGGACAATGGACAACAAGTGGAAGAGGAGAATTGTGATGAAAGGACGCGTTTAATTGTTTTTGGTAGAAATAAAGCCATTCATAGGCTACACCTAATAGATTAAGCTTTTAGGAGAATTGATCTTGACAGTTTTAACCAAATATAATCCTTCATTTTGTCAGTGCCAAGTTAGACTTTGCATTTTAGATACTAGTCGGTGGGTTAAAGTGTCAAAACTCAAAACACAATGCGCAATAGCCAGACCTGCTGATAATTTGTTTATCTTTGAAATTCTTACAATAAATTTACTGATATTACTGTTTATCTTGTGTTCGAGGGATACAACATTACAACCTACAAAATAGATGGTCGGCTTTGCAGCACAAGTATGAAGTAGGGCCGGGCTCTAGTGAAAATTTAAGGTAGCTCATTTTTTAAAGGATTTTGAAGCTAGGATGTATTTGTTCCAATAACATTTGACTTATGGTTTATCAATTCGATTTGATCATTGGGTATTTCTTTTTAACTTGCTTGTTATATATGCCATAACCATATAGATCTTCATGTTTAAAATCCTTTAATTTGGTGTTTTGATTACCCAGCTGCCTACATGGAACTATATGTGCTAGACTGCTTTGTGTTTTGTGTGATTAGCAAGCCAATTGTGTTTATCTTCCACATTTGGACTCTGTTGGTTTTCAGATCTGTACTGCAATCATACTTACCTGTCGTGTGCTACTACGCATAATTACTGCATCCGCAAGCATGGAAAAGAGATCGTTTCTATCAAAGATAAAGTCATTCAATAGTTGCTTCGTTAACAGAACTGCATATACTTTGTATCATTTTTCTTGTGACTAAGAATGCTAACTAAAGATGAAAATAATTTAGCTGTATGAAGTAATAGCTATTTTGCATAAGGGGAAATAGTTTTGGTGCTCCATTTCGAAGTAGTTTCACGAAATATGATGTTGGGCCTCACACTTGAGGGGAGGATGTTGAAAATATTCAAGTGTAAGTTATAAAGAAGTTCCACATTGATTAGAATTGAACTAAGTAAGGACCATATAAGCGCAAAAGACTATAGCCTTAAGATTTTGGGTTGAGATGTGATGTCGATTCACTTATTGTGATCTGTCATTTGGTCCATTAGTAAAAGATTCCTTATAAAGGTTTTGGGCTCCCCGGTTACTATTTCTACAGTGGTATCAGAGTCAACCGTTTGGCTAGGCCGGGTCTTTGAAGATGGTAATATTTTAAGGCCTCCGCAGAAGGTTAGTGTGACCCCAATACTTGAAAATAAAACACTTCCGCATAAGTTACCCTAAGAGGGAATATGATGTTGGTCACTAATTGGGTTCTGCACTAAAACTGCCCTTGACATGCACTCAGCACTTGTCGCTCACTCGTGTGGACATGTCTAAAATAAAAATTCGTTTTTTTGGCTTGGACACACGCCAGACATGCATCTTTGCATGAAGCTACTACGTTAAATTATCGATTTCTTCAGTCTCTTGACTTTGCATGTTTGGTTTTGTTTATTTTTGGGAAAAAAGGATTTTTTTTCTTTTTCAAAAGCTTTCTTAGTAAGCTTTTGATTATTAGCTATTTTGGACACAAAATAAACTAATTTAAACACACATTATGCCATATGGTATGTAGATCCATTTGCATCTCTTCATGATGTTTTTTTTGGTATCCAATGCCTTTATTTTTTATTCAACTGGCTTGTAGATGCCAAATGAATTTCTTTTCTTTTTTATTTGTCCGATACATGAGTGACATGGCTTTGGAATGACGCTGGTTTGATGGATACAGTGCAATATGTTGATGCATCTTAAGTTTGTGTTCCTTCGTAGTTCCAGTAGATAAAATCTGGAGTCTTGCGATAACAAAAATAATGGAAACTATTCTTATTTCGTAACCAAATCCTTAATAGCATTTGAAAACTTAATCAGCAGAGCTGTCAGAAAACTATTTTTTTTAGCATACATCTACTGTGCTTGTATTGTCATCTTAGTGCTTCAATCTGTTTAAGGATTCTAGCGGTAGGATGGTATGGTGGCTTTTTGATGCGGTCAATAGAAATTAAAAAACATGCTTTATTGATGTCTGGCATTTGAGTAATAAAACTAGTGGTTGCATTACAAAGTGGATGATGTCAGTTTTCTGAAAGTCACTCTGAGAGGTCAATTTTAGAGTATGGATAAGAATAATTTATTTACTTGATCTATGAGGATAAGAACAAAGAAGTCTGTATCCGCCACCCCCGTAATGATGTCAACATTTTTTCGTCGTATATTAGGATATGCGCAATTGTGTTCTGTTTTTTTTCCCCTCAAAATTGTTTTGTAAAATATTTAATGAAATAAGTGCTTTTTATTTTTTTTCTTTTCAAAGTTAAAAGTTAAACGGAAAAATATTTTTGTTATTAATGCAGATAAATTATTTGCATTTACTTTCAAAACAACGTCATTTTGGGTTGAAAGATTAGAAAATTATAATTATAAAGAATATAATAACTCTGAAATAAAATAAAATTATAAAAATATCATGATTTTTGCCCCAAAACGACGTTGTATTGGGCTTATTACAGATAATTTATCTGCAATAACTGCAGAAAAAATGAACCCAAAGTTAAAATACAAAAAAAAAATTAGACCTGATGTTCTCTAAATTTGATTGTAAAAATTTTAAAACAGTTATAATGGCAAAAAAAATTAAATAATACTTTTTAATTCAATAATTACGCATTTATTGTAGTTTTGGGAATAATTACACATTTATTGCACAATGTGACGCTCCATTGAGGCGTCTCACCCTAAGGGAAGACGCCCCAATGGAGTGTCACATGTGATGCCCAAAAGGGGCGTCTCATGTGTGCCCTATATATACCCTTTTTTTTACCATTTCACTTCTCACTATTTCACCTCTCTCTAACCACGGTTTGTGCTCCCGACCAAACGCGAAGATTTTCGTAGCGAAGCTCTGCCAACTTAGGTAAGTTCGTAATACCTGCTATGTATACGTTTAAATTACAGTGCTACCTTGCGAACATGTTAGGATTTATCGTATATTAGAAACTTAGAACATTAGGATAGTCACTTAGAAATTTTGTACCATGCTATTATTTTGTGATAGTGATTTAGAAAATAGTGATAGTGACTTCATAAATTTTGTATGATGTTATTAATGCGAGAGTGTATTGATAATTTTGTAGTCAGTTAGGTGTGATGATTAGTACATATTTATGAAGTTATTAGTGACTTAGGGTTAAGTATTATGTCAATATGATTTAATTTGTGTCCGATGTTTTATTATAATTTAATTACAAATAAATGACTGTACTACGTATTAATAATATTTCATTAATGTCGATTCTAGTAAAAACGTAGGGTTTATGCTTAATTTTGTTGATAATAAATTAGGGTATTGCTTAATTAATTTGTACATAAAATGTGTTGTTACATGTGATTAATTTCATTGTTGTTTTATATTATGGTGAGTTTAGGGTCATGACTGATTCATCATCATCTTCGGGTTCTACATCGGATGCAGAGCCTACCGATCCTAGCATCTACATCATACCTGGGCCTTATAGATGGGACGTCATTCGTAAAAGGACGCAGTGTGCCCATATTTCACGAGTGTGGAATACGGAGCATGTGAGGAGACTGAAGACCAGGCGTGGGAAACCACAGGGGGGCCACCTACCGAGGCTATTCCAGAGGTGGTCACAGACTACCTCACACAGGCTGGATTTATCCATGTTGCCTGGATGCGACATATCCAGGTATGCGATTTACGACGTCTTGTATTTATGTAATTATTCAATACCATTCGTTAACACGTGATAATTGTATAACTTATTTCAGATCGATGCCCCATTAATTAGTGCTCTAGTCGAGAGGTGGAGACCAGAGACACATACATTCCACATGACGCAAGGTGAGATGACTATCACCTTACAGGATGTGGCCAGCATATTAGGATTGCCCACTGACGGTATTGTTGTTACCAGATCTACAAATGAGGATTGACCCGCTGTTTGTGCTGCTGTTTTTGGCCCGGTTCCACAGGCCAATGAGTTCCATCATTCAGGTGACCTCCGCATCTCATTCTTAGATCGGTTATATACCCGGTGGACTGATCATGCTGGGATCATGATCGCGAGATACATTTCACAAAGGCGCACATTGCCCGCATGCTGGGGTGTTGGTTGCTGGCGAACAAGTCTGGAGGTAGCAATATCGGTTGTCGGCTAGTCCCGTTGCTTGGGGGAGGATTTGATGAGATTGGCCGTTTCAGCTGGGAATTTGCGGTTCTGGCACACTAGTTCAGGAATTTGTGCGAGTGTACAGATGTCGGTCGATCTGACATGGGTGGTTGCCACATTCTTCTTCAGATTTGGGCATGGATATGATTCCCACCCATTGCTCCACCCCTTCCTCCTCATCCAGACATACATAACTACTAAAGGAAACATAAAGAAATAGTTCAACATACATAAAGTAAACATACATAACTAATAAGTATCTCAGTCGTTTCTCCCACGATTTGGACATGCTCGCCGATTATGGCCGCGTTCCTTGCATAGTTCACACCTGATACAGCTTTGACTTATCTCGACTTCATCCATCTCGTTGCGTATGCGAGTTGACTTTGGACGACCTTTTGCACGCAACATAGTGGTATCGGGAATAATCTTTGGACCTGTACTTGGCGGTATTGCTTCCTCGTTTGCGATTGGCTCCCACAGAAAAGAATAAGCCTCGACCAAGTTAGTTGTCAAGAAGACATCGTCTATGTACGTGAAAGGACTCTGCCTAACACTTAAAGCAGCAGCAGCGGCGTGACTACACGGGTACTTAAAGGCCTTAAACTTTCCACATTGACAAAATCTCTGTGGGAGATTGACAGAATATGAACGCTCCCAACCTGCGTCAACCTCGAAGACAGTATGATCCACGTTGTATGCACGAACATGGTGGTCTGTTGCATGTACCTGATTCTTCTTGACCAGTTCAACAACATTTTTGCAATGATGATGAGATGATTGAAGTTGCGCAACGGCAGATGTACCTCTCTCAACAAAATAATGAACCAATCTGCTATGTGTGTGCTTAACCAATGCAGTTATCAGCATATTTTTATCCCCCTTCAAAACCCTGTTGACAGATTTTGCCAAATTTGTTGTCATATGCCCGTACCTCCGTCCTTCAAGATTGTAGGCATGCGACCACTTTTCCTTAGGGATGGCATCAATCCACTCAGCAATTTGATGACTACTTTCACGGAAGCTTGCAAGATTCCTTTCAAAATCAACCATGGTCGGAGTATAGCCTGCACAAATTGGACATCATCGAATTAATCATAAAATGAGACATATAATGGAAAGAAATAAATAAGGATCTGTGAATGAGTTTACCTAAGTTCTTCAACATCCGCTTCAAACCCTCACTTCGAAACTTTTGATTGAAGTTGCTTGCAATATGACATAATTGCCACCGCTTTCTGCTTTGCTTTCTCCCAATCACAGTACATAATTGCCATCGCTTTCTGCTTCGCATACCATGCCTTTCTATAGGAAACTTTAAAGCCATATTTAGAGGTTATCCTTTCTTGAACCAAAGAAATTGAGACAGATGGTTCTTCCCTTATCATCCTTGCATTGAAAAGGTCACAGACTCGATAACATAGAACGAATTTAATGACACAGCAGTATGTAAATGTTGACATGTCATTGAAAATAAATACGTACTATAACGAGATCCGCGTCGAGCTGTCTATGTCCCTGGGAAATGTGCTCATTCAAACAATTGTGATCTCCACCCCATTTCGTAATCTTCCAATTTTCACCAAACACTGGTTTGATCGCCCTAACGCGCCACAGGCAACCTTTATCATATGCACAACATTTTATGAATAACTTTGCAGGCGTGCTCTCAATTACAATTGCTTCTTGATGCTCCCTAATCAGGTTGTGCTTAAGTGCCATTTGGACATCTTTTTTTGTTGCAAATTCTTGGTTCACAAATAACTTGTCACCCAGTTGTCACGGACCTTGTATTGAACCCGATCCTGAAATCGTACCATCAGTGCATGATTCTTGTTCACTCCGATAACTCCAATCAATGTACGAATAATGCGAAATTCCTTGCCAAAAAGGAATAACAGCTTCGTCACCTGCATCTAATAATTAAAAGTTTTTAATACAAACTTCCTAAATCAGATATTAAATCAGGTATCAATTCAGGTATATACAAATTATATCAATTACCTTGATGATTACATAATGGGGCAGACACAACGTCATGCAATTGCGGCATTTGCGTGACCACTGGTTCATGGTAGACTGGGATTTGAGACGCACCCGTCTCACCACCTTTATCTCCATCTGAAGCACTAGCATCCTCCGCCAGAAGACGTTCTTCCATTGCGATGTTTTCATCATCGTCGTCGTCTTTGTCGTGCATTTTCCAAGTTGGATCATTTTCATCTCCCTCAGAAATGTTACCAACTGGAGACGCATGAGCGGCAGACCGTGATGGAAGACGGGGAGAATTTAAATCAACTGACCTCACCGGTAATGGAACATTCTCCGCTGCGGCGATGTCGACATACAACTCCAGAAAATCTGTCCTTGACTGGTTGAAAATTTCTTCCATTGTCATCTTAACGTCTTCATCGTCAACCACTTGAAAACTAATGTATTTATCACATTGCCATAACCTTGTCGTGATCCGAGTGATACATTGGTTGTCTTGAAGTCTTAACTTCTGCCGAATTCTATGATGCAGTTCACCAATGGTTGCGTTGCGTTGGATACGTGTCGGCCTTTTTTTCACCTTCAAACATGACACCTCGTCGACCTTCTACCTTTCTTCCATTGTAATATAACACAACACGAATAGAATTAGGATTTGAACTCATTCTTAAATAGAATAAGAAATAAAATTCAAATACTAAATTAAAGATGAAGGATTATGTATGTATGATGTTAGGAATTTTGGTAGAGAAGAGATATAAGATGAGAGAAGAGGTGTGAAGAGTTGTAAGAGTGAAAGGGGAATATATAGGGTGCACAATGTGATGCCCAAAAGGGACGTCACATTGTGCAGTAGATCCGTAATTATTTTTAAAACTGTAATAAATGCGTAATTATTTTATTAAAAAGGATTAAATTAATTTTTTTGCCCAGTTATAATTTTAAGAACTATTTTTACAAAATAGACATTATTAAATAGTTTTTTTTGTCTTTCTAAAAATTAAAAAAACTGTTCTTAAAAACTAAAATCAAACAAGCCCACGTCTCGAATTTTCTATTGATGAATTTTTTTTTTTAGAGATGTCTGATCTTAATAAAATGCTATGGACTATACTTATGCCCTCCCATCGACAATATTCGTGATTCCTGCAAGAAATAATTAGCTATTGGATTGCAAAGTTTTTGTTATGCATATTATGTTTGTAGATACTGCAAAAGCATTTGGACTCATGCCGCAACTTGGTTTTGCAAGTGGGATTTTTTCATGTCGATATTCTGGGCCGAGTAATGAGAGGTTGGAGTGGCAGAGGAGGTAGATATCATTGGTGAGAGCGACTCGCAAGATGTGTAAGGAATCTGCATTTAGTGGTCCTTGTTCATGTATAATTATGTCCAAACATGGAGTCGTTACCATCACGTTAAGCCCACTTCCAAGAAAGTAATGCCTATAGATTCCTTTACCTTTTCCGCTATACGGTGTGACATGCATGATCTTTTTGCTGCAACTTGAATTCCGTAAGATTTAAAGGACATCCACATATTATTCTTCTTGTTAGCAGTTTAGCACACATCGAATATTTCCTTTCTCCAGGGACCTAATAAATGAAAAACAAACCTTACGAGTGTACCTTGTAAAAAAGCCAGCCAGGTCGTAGCACGAAATCCTTGGAATGAGTCTTCGAAGTTCGACCGCACTAGAATAATTGGAGAAGATATCCCTCACTCTTTGCATATGCTGGGGAGATTTGTGAACCATTTTTATGTTAAAAGTAAGAAATACTTCAATATTAGATTTAAACGTTAAATAATTACAAGAACGGCATCTTTTCCTCTATTCCTTTATACTTCCGGTTTCACGGGAAGAGTGCGCGGCGTTGACAGAAGCAGAGAGCGGATTAGTCCCTAATAAAGCAATAACTTGGTTCTTATTTATCATGGTTCCTAAATTAACGGATCTTGCATCATAATCTAACATATTTATTATTTAGGCCCAAAAATTCAATAAATATAAATATTTCCATTAATAAAAATCCAAATCAATGAAATTGTGACTATAATTTCTTATTTTCTCTCGTTACGAGATCCTTACATTACGAGCTAAAAAAATTTCATGTTCATTTGAGTTCTAACTAGTTTATGAATAAAAAATTTATGAACTTGCAAAATAAAATTTAAATAAGGATTTAATTTGTCTCATGTTTTAGGACATAAAATTATTGGTTTAATGTTTCTGCTTTTACTGCAGAATTTTTTTTCTGCCACAATCAAATAAAAGTGAGTGAGTTTCTCTAATTTTTTTTCTCTTCTCTTTATAATAAAATTCACTTACTTTGACGTGAGTGTAGCAAAAAAAATATTTCTTCAACAAAAACAAAAATATTTTTCTCTAAAATTATCTCCTATACACGCATAAAATTATATATAACTTATGTTTTTCTTTTTTCTCTCTTCTCTTCATATGGCCCCAAATCAATCTCACATATTTTTATATATGTATAAGAGATAATTTTATCTCCTACAAAATGAGAAAGATGAAATTCTTCAAATAAATACATGAAGAGATAGAGATATGGACTCTCTCTCTCTCTCTTTTTTTTTTTTGGAAGATAGAGATATGGACCCTTTTTAAATCTAAATTGACATATATGACTTAGCGCTAAAATTTTACATCAGGAGGAAGCAAAGATCTCCGCTTCAGTTTTCATTGTTGGTATGAACTATGAACTATTATGCAACGTGCAAAATACTGTGCTTCAAAATAGCAGCTGAATA